GCTAGACTAATATGAAATCTTTGAGGATTACAAAGATCATCTCAGACCCCAGATAAACCTAAGAATCATAAATAACCTCAAATCATGCTGGACCTGAATGAACACCTGGGATCTGACCTGGACTCAAACAACACCCAGTCTACTTATTTATAAATTTTTCAAATGTAAGTGCAGAAAATGAGAATACAAAATCAAATATATTACGTTTTCAAATTGTACTCACCTAAATTAAGGATTAAAATTAGGCAGACTTTGTCTCCCATTTACACAAAGATAATCACCAGGTATTTGGAGAATAAATTTTAAAGAAATGTATAGCTCATAAACTTTTTTTTTTTAGATATAACTTTAAATATTCAGCTTTAAAGAAGCAACTTATCACCTGAAACTCAAAAGTTAATAAAAACTTTGCTGTGTTCAGTAGTTTTTAAACCTTCAAAGATACTAGCAAACATCAGAGCTAGGACAGTGATTGCCATATTTCATTGAAATGAGGACATCAGTTCTAAGATGTACCATTCTATCATGTGCCACTAAGAATGTAAAATCATTTCCAACACACATCAGTCATAAAACGTATCCCAAATTCAAAGATATTAAAATATTTAAAAATTGTTATCTCAGAACAGATGTAATGCAATATACACATACTTGTTCCTCTGAATAACCTCAAGGTACCGGAAACCTAATCTATATAAGGTATCAACTACAGAAGGAAGAAGAAAATAAATCAACATTTCTATAGCATCAAAACCCCAGCACCCCACACAACCTTCTTTAAAATGCATGAGAACAGTCAATGCAAACTACCAGTTCAAAGAATCAATAAATAAATAATTATGCAGACAACAAGTACAAAGAAGTAACTACATAATTCACTATGACCTAAGGAGATGATTTCCAAACTCAAGCAGTCAAGAACCTTTCAAACAACTCAGATTGTCAAGACCCATGTCTCCTTTAATCCAACGGTCCACAGACACTACCTCAAAAAAAAGAGCGCCGCCTACTAAAGGAAAAAAGTTAATCCAAGATTTTTCAGCACCTACTATGAACACAATACTCTAGTGTAGCTCAGGGCGATTTACAGGTTTAAAGTACGCTAATGTGCTGTTTCAAGAACAATGGTACCGGTGCAAAGCAAAAGGAAAGTCTTACTAACCTAAACATTTTCAGACTGAAAAAAGTAACAAAGGTTAATAAATTAACCCAATTTCAGCAAACACAAAAGAATGCATTTATTTAGGCAGTGTCAACAATTAATTCAATTACAGTATGCAAACACATGAAGATCTCTACTAAATTCACTCGTTTCAAAATTCCTAAAATCGATTACTTTTCTTACACCAAAATTCGGTATCATATCCTATTAAACATTAAAATACAAGCAAATCTAAATATAAGGTAAATTCACAACCAATGAAATTATACAGAACAAAGAAGATCACCAAATACAAACTTGTCCGAAAGCTAATTCTATTAGAATTCAATCACGTGTAAGAACAGATAAACACTCAAAACAGGCAAGGCAGAATACATTTTAAAAATCCCTCCAAACACAGCAAATCTACCTCCAATCTACAGAGAAATCTAAGAAGCATAGATTCTATTTACTTCACTGACCATTTAATTTTCTTAAAGTTGCAGACTCCACAAAGAGAGGGACTACACCTATCTGTCTACAGGTAAATGAGGACATAGAAGTCATACTATTTTTTTTCTAAACATTGACTCTACTAAATAAAACATTCCTAAGTTTAAGGTTGATTTAGAAAACCAAATGACTAAAAATGTTTCCCTTCCTTTTTTGTTGTTTTTTCAGAGGAATCTAATTTGATCATCCATTTGGACCTTAAATGTCAGAGCTTAGAAACTGAAATGTAAAAATGTCGAGGAGTTTAAACAAAAAAGACAGAATGTTGGTAATTTTTGAAAATAGGTTCATTATACTGTTAATTATGTAATAGTTAATTATACTGTTCTATTCTTGTGTATGGTTTTTAAAGTCTATGATAATGGCGTGCCTCGGTGGCTTGGTCGGTTAAGTGTCCGACTTCAATTCAGGTCATGATCTCACAGTTCGTGGATTCGAGCCCCACATAGGGCTCTGTGCTGACAGCTCAGAACCTGGAGCCTGCTTCAGATTCTGTGTCTCTGTGTCTCTCTCTGCTCCCCCCATCCCACACTTTGTCTCACTCTCTCAAAAATAAACATTAAAAAATTTAAATAAATAGATACTATGATAATGTTAGATATTTTAAAACTATTCAGGTGTACTGAGTGGTCTTCCTTAAAATCTTTAATTTTACAACAAACTTAATAGAGTATCAATTTAGCAGTAAGGTTTTTTGACAGGGTACACTAACTTAAAGGTAATCCACAAACACATCAAAAATTACTCTATCAATAGATGTTAGGTCATACCAACTTGAAAGTTACTAAGGAAACAAATGTAATGCAATGAAGTACATATCTAATTTATATAGTCAATGATTAATTTAAAAACATTTCATTCTTAGAATTGGAAGGAACAAATTTTCTAGCAGTGGTTAACACTTTCCAGGTACCTAGAGGCCACAGACAAATCATCTTGTTTCATAAATTGGGAATTGTGTACAAAATATAAGACTTTGTTTTAAAAAAGAATCTAGCTACTTTAAAAATCAGGAGGGAGGGAGGGCTAAAAACCACTGTTCTAATGAACTCACATTCTACAGCTAATATAGCAAACTAGAAAAGGTTAAATGACTTGTATAATACCATTCAATTAATGGCAGTGTAAAGAAGAGAATTTAGGACTCTTGACTATTTGTCCAGTTCTTTATTAGACCAATGCACAACCTTAAATTTAAGTTAGTTATGAATAATATTGTTTTAATGTTCTTGTCGATAAAATATTAGACAAAATAGCAAAATCACCTCTAAGATAATTTTCCAGATCTAAAATTCTGACTCCATGAATGCCAAGTTTTAACAGAGGTCCATATTAAGGAGACGTATGTCCTCAAACAGAAGAACTCTTCAAACATTTTGAGGGACTCCAGAGAAACAGAAGTCAAATATAGAAACAAGCTAACAATTAAGTTATTCACTCTTGTCTTTTTGGGTCCTGAAACATTCTTGCAACTTCTCCATCTTTTATTAGTTAATGCTAGGATATTACACACTGTCGTCAAAGATCACTGAAATAATCATAATGAAAGTTTTTTCAGTTATCAGGTATTTTTTGAAAGGATATTGGCCTATCAGACATACAACTCACTGGATGTTCAAGTTACTGAATTCCTTACAGAGAACCGAGTAAATCACTCTGTTAAGTTTAAAATAAATGAATTCAGAGGAGCATTAAGTCTAGTTGACACATAATGGTCACAAATAAAGTTTTAATTCCCACCTATTAAAGCCTGAAAGAGGTTGCTCTGAAATATGTTAATAACCCGTTCTATGGAACTTCTGAGCTGTCGGTCTTCAGTTTGGCTTAGTTTTGAACGATATTCTTCCAAAAGGTGCAATGCTCTCTGGGTGTCTGAGAAGAAAAGCAGAGTCTGATTAAAATTACACATATACAAGTACTACACACTATTTATGCAAATAATCTGTGAGACATCTAAACACCTCCCCAAATCCTCTAGGTCAATCAATGCTACTATGTTCACACACACACACATTCCCTGAAATAATGAAAACATTTTAAACATATGTCACAGAGAAAGGAGGAAGGTGAGCAGTTTGTAATAAATGTGGGCTAGCACAATAATCTACCACAATAAAAGACTGATCAAATATTAGTTAACATGGCTTCAAGTGATCTGATATGCAAAAGCAATTACCTATCTATAATTTGTCATGATAATCCAAATCTTAAATGTTTCAAAACACTAGTTCTTAGCCAGGATCCCACGTTTATTCACAAATCAGTGTTTAGTAAGAATGATAAAGTAAAATACTAAAACACCAATTCAGAGTTTTTGAAAAGACATTTCAGAGAAAACAAAATTAACTGCCTCTCTAGTCACTAAAGAGATGTCAAAAAAGAAAGTTTGAAAAATATTTAGGTGGTTCTCCCTTCTAAGGATATGAGGCTTAGATTCCCTAAGTACTAACTAAGGCTAGGACGATGCTGTCTCATCGGAGCTGAACATTTTTAAAGCACAGCAATCACAAAACATACACACAGAAAAGCAAGTGACACTCGCAGGAGAGTTCTGAAATAAATTCTCACCTTGCTTCCGGACCGGCATTTTTCTCCAGTATCAGGAAGAGGGCACACACCTTTGAAAACATAAAACAGAACGGAGACAACTAAAGCAAAGAACAGAGTCGTACTTAAACTAGCATTTCCCCCGAATCTCAAGTCGAAAAACTCCCAGCCCTGTATGAAAAGGCCACCTGGCGAAGTTTTCCGAAGTGAAAGAAAAAGCCTCAAAACCCAGCAGTGAGTGTCAGTCAATCTAGAAAGCTTTTACCTAAGGGTGGGTACCCCGGCAAATTAAGAGCAGACAGAGAAGCCTGCTTCCAAATTCTCCTCGAAAGCTGCTCCCTCTCCAAAGGGTACTAAACGCCTAAACGTGAGGCCACCCCTCCCCCGGCTTAAGTATGCACATTCCCCACCTGCTACTGGAGGGTGCAGAGGCGCTCCGACCCTTGGCCCCTAAGCCTGCAGCGACAGTAAGAGCGCTCCGACGCGGGACCAGCTGGGCTGATCACCCCACTCTGCTCTGGCCCCCTCCTCTCGCTTGCCTTTCTCCTGGCTCGCTTCCTCCGGGCTACTCCAGCGGGGGCCGGACAGGGCTGCGGCCGCTCTCCGCGACGCCCTCACGCCCCACATGCACACCTCGGCGGGCCCCCACACCTGCGGCGCCACCACAAAGTTCCTGCAAGCCGCGAGCGCTAGGAGCTGGGGTGCGCTCCGGCCAGAGTCGGGGCGGCTCCCCCGCCCTTCCCCGCTCCACGTCCCCCCGCCCCGCCCGGGGCTCGAGGAGCTGAGCTGAGGGGGGTGAGGGAACGGGGGAGGAGCTCCCCTCGGCGGCCGCACCCCCACCGCCCCTTCTTCCTCTTCCTCCGCCGCCGCCGCGGCCGCCTCGGTCGCCGCGGCCCGCTAGCCCGCTCGCCCTCTCCCTTCCTAGCCGCCCCACCCCCGGAACCTCGCCTCCTTCCGCGCCCCCAACCGCTCTCCCCCCAAACTTTCCGCCAAGATGGCGGCCCCGGAGCTGGACTGCCGCGCCCCCACGTGACCGCTTTCCCGGCGCTCTCAGCCAATGGGAAGTGAGGAGGCGGCTGGCGCCGAGCCCCGGGCTCTCAGCGCTGCTACCTTTGGGTTGGTAGGGGGAGGAGGGCCAGGAGGGGGCTGGGGAACGGGAAAGGGGACCCGGGAAACATCGCAAGTGAACCAACTCGCTTAAAGGAGCGGCCACTGAAGCGGCTCTGAAGACAAAGGAGTTGACACACAGATTCTACAGGTGGTCCTTGGTGGCCCTGGAGGAGCCCGCCTTTACCTCGCCCTAGCCCACCGGTGTGTCCCGCGGTTCAGAGTGAGGAGCGCGCCAGGCCCGGAAAGGTCGGGGTGTCTGAAGAGAGACGTGACCTCACCTACACCAGATCCAAGACACACATTCCGAGACACCCTTTAACCTCACTAAACACGTGCCGTTTTCAACTCCAAGGCAGGAGAGAGTGCCTGGCGCCCCCGGGGGTGGATCCCCAACAGGGAAAAGCGGTCTCGGGGAGGAGTCCACGGCACCACCCACATTAGGGGCGGGGGCGGGCGGAGCCTGGAAGGGGGAAGGGGAGGGGTTTGTGTGGGGTTGGGGGGTGCGATCTCTGCACTGTCTTCCACTTTGTACTGGGGCTTTTTTATTATTCGCCCTTAAGTAAAAGTTTTTTGGGGGCGTGAGGGGTTGAATTAAAGAAGGGCACATAAAACAGGGAGACAGATTAAGAGTTTGATGATTTTACTAGAGGGTTTTTAAGTCTAAGTGATTAATTCTAAGCGTGAATGTATTTAAGGGTGGAAAGAAAACATTTGTTCCTTCTTTCACTTGCTCATTCATTCACTCCTCCTTGCCTGTGCTCCCCAGCCCAGTCATCAGTCTCAGGTTATTACTCCAGCTCTGGAGGCCCCTTTAAGAACTCACCTGTAGCTACCTCCTCCGAAACCGAGCCGCCCTCAGCGCCCTTAGCGCCCTTAGCGCGCAAAGCTGGGTTAAGTTTTGACTGCAACTCTGAGCGAGACCTCCGGCCGGCCAGGACCCGGCTCTGGGTCTGAGCCACCCAGGTTGTAGAAGGAGAATTAAGAGAAATGTCACCGTCCGGGTCTTTGAGCCTCTTCTGGATAACGGGGAGCTCCCTCCTCCGAGGTCCAGAGAGAATTTGCCCAAAGTCACCCAGAGTTAGTAACAAAACGGGAAACACGAAAATCGAAGATCGTCTTTCAGGGAAGATTGCTCTTCCCAAGCAAACCTGACAGACTTTCACGGACACCAAATCCTTGGGCTAATTAATAAAAGGGAAGTCCTGGAAACTTTGTACTGTAACCATAAAAGTTACTCAGAGGTATGCTAACCACTGGGTTTCACTTTGGGATTGCACCTTGGAATTCTAACTTCAGTGAACCCAACGACTTTAGAGCTCATCTTGACCCACTCTCTCAGTTTAGGATTAAGAAACTGAGGTTCAGAGAAGGGAAGCAAATTGCCTAAGGACGTATAGGCTTATCGGTGACAACAGCCCTGGAATTAGTTCTCCTAGCTCCTGTACAGGGCTCTTTCCACTGTGATTTTGGACAACTTGACAGTGGTATGTTGGTATATTGGCTGCAGACCTCTACGCTCTCCTAGATCAAGCATCTTGGGAACTTGAGCAACAGTTTAGAGCAACATTTCATAGAAGAAATAGGATGAGAAAGTGAAAAGAAGCTCCTAAAAGCAAGAGCTTAGAGAGATTTTTTAAATAGTGAAATGGGAAGGTTTTTAATAGTGAAAATGGCTGATGGCATGCATGCTATTATTAAGACTTCTTTGATCAACTGTGAATGGAATCATTCCACTTAAGGAAGCATTCAAAGAATGGAATCTCTTCAGAATTCGGGAGGAAGGAGGGATTTCACCCTCACCCTTAATATCATTCATTATTCATATATGTTCACATGCTAGGCAATGAGGATAGAAACAGTTAAGATCCAAGCCCTGCTCTCAAGGAACCACAGCCTAATAACAAATGGATGAAGGCCAGTGAAGCTTTTCCCAAGGGCCACTGTAAAACCAAAAGCAAAATTTGGGTAAGTTTTCAATGTCATCCTAGTCTTCTGCTAAGAAGAAAGAGGAGGGGGAGGAAGAAGCAGGTGACACGAGGGCATGAAGCTTTCCTTCTTATCATCCTCTAGCTCTGTTGGTTGTCAGCAGTGTCTAAAAGCAGAAATGAAGCTAGCATCTATTCCATCCTTAGATAGACAAGTCCACGCCTAGAATGAGAGGCTTTTATTCTTTCTTCCTCATTCCTCCTTTCTATTCGTCTGTATTAGTTATCTATAGCTGCATAACAAACCCCTCAAAGCTTAGTAGGTTAGTAGCTTAAAACATAGTAGTTTAGTAACTTAAACAGCAATAAACATTATCTCACAGTTTCCGCAGGTAAGGAATTCAGGAGGACCTTAGCTGGATGGTTCTGGCTTAGGGTCTCAAGAGATCACAGTCAGGATGTCTACCAGAGCCAGTCATCTAAAGGTTTAGCTGGGAGTAAGGGAGGCTCTTCCAACATGGCTCACTCACGTGAGTCAATGCTGACTATTGGTAGAAGGCCTCCTTTTTTCACCATGAAGATCTTTCTGTAGGGCTGCTTGAGTGTCTTTATGACACGGTGACAGACTTCCTCCAGAGCAGGTGATCCAAGAGGGCAAGGCATCAGCCACAACATCTTTCATGACCTAATTTCAGAAGTAATACTCCATCATTTCAACAGTATCCTCTTGTTTACTTAGGTCAGCCTCAAGAGTATGAATACCAGGATCTAAGAATCAGTAGGCGCCATCTTGGAATCTGGCTACCACATCATCACAACATACAAAACAATAACATCTGGATTTCTGCAAACAACTTTTATTTCCTTGAAGTCTTCCTTTATGCAGATAGCAGCCACCATTGAATAGGATTCAATATCGCATCTGATTGCTTGCCAACTTCCTCATTAAAAAAATTTTTTTTAATATATAAACTTTCCAGCTCCATGTTAACTTTTCTTTCAAATAACTTAAAAGACCTAAGAGTCAAAGGATTGCAGGGAAAAGCTCAAAGCTTGAATTCTTCTATTGAGTTGTCAGAGAGTTGATCTCAAAGAACATTGTCTCTCAGTTCTAAACTTTCCCTCCCCTACTATCCTTCTACCCAAACCACGCTTATAGCTTCACATCTCGATCTTTGTTCTTTCCCCTGTTTAGGTCTGAAGCCTAATCTCTGTGAAGGTGCTCAGGTCCTGCCAGACCCTACTGCATCATTTTCTCCACTCTGGCAGAGTGGCAGTATACTGTCTGTGCCAAGGCAGTCACTAAAAGGAAAGAATTTAATGCTGTCAAAAATGCTTATGCCAGCTTAGGCTGCAAAAAGAATAGTGCCAAGAATGATGAGAGTAACCATGCTGAACAGATCTCCACAAATTGCTCAGGGGGCATTTCCTGGCAGCCAACTTTAGGAAGGGTCTACTTAAACTAGCATCTGGGAAGAAGAGAGTAACCAGAATAATCAGGGATATGAAGCCTTAACCCCGGGGGAACAATTGTAGAATCTAGGGTCATTTCTTCGAGAAAAGAGTTATCTGGGGAGCTTGACTTCAATCTTCAAACAGGCTTATTTTGGGTATCTGGGGGACAGGAGTGAAGTTACAGGGACATAGGAAGTTCTTTTTTTTTTTTTTTTAACCATGATTTGTCAGAATTGTCCAAAATTCCAAAGAGCTGCCCCAAGGTGGTGAAGAGTTATCCATCAAGCACAGGCTGATGAAACCATCAAGGCTTCCTTGTCAGAGAGATGTAGATACCCAACACAGAAAGTTGGGCTAAGGGACCTCTGAGATCACAATTCTAAGCATTTGAAGCTTTAGTCTCTGCTGTGGTATTACTGCCATTTTATCTATATCAAGAATTGATTCTATCCAGTTTACGTGGCACAGAGACTGATCTCCTTTTGCATAGATAATTCTTATTGGAATAAAAGGTACAGGTTGAAACCAATTCCCTTTAAAATGTGGACAGTCACCCATCTCCATGACAATTAGTCACTGAACTCATGCTTCTAAATGTATAATCCACCTCAAATTGCTATGTTACAGTGTAATGGGTTCCTAAGTGGGTGTAGGACAAATAACTGACTCCCATTTAAAACTAGTATACTTTTATACTGGTGTAACCCTTTGTATCAGGTTCAAAGACAGATTTAACACATTGCAGTCTCACAGCAACCTATGAGATAAACTTAATGGCTATGATTTCCCAATTTGCAGAGGAAGACACTCAAGAAGAAAGAATCCAGTTTAGACCACTACAGCTAGCTGGTAATGGAGCTGGGACTGAACATTAGCTCATTGTTTTTCTCATTAGACTATGTTTCCTTTTCTCTACTTGACTCCTTTCTTAAAAAACAAACAAACAGGGGCGCCTGGGTGGCGCAGTCGGTTAAGCGTCCAACTTCAGCCAGGTTACGATCTCGACTT